ACATTTTTAAAGTGACTGTATAACATTATATTATGGACTGAGTATCCCTATCTGAAATACTTGGGACCCAAAATGCTTCTGATTTTTTTTATTTTGGAATGTTTGCATATACATGATAAGGTATTTTGGGGATGGGACAGAGTCCAAGAAATTCATTTGCATTTCACATATGCATTATACAAATAGCCTGCTACTTAAAAAAAATTTTTTTTTGTGGTACTGGGGTTTGAACTTAGGGCCTACATATTGAGCCACTCTACCAGCCCTATTTTTATGATGGGTTTTTTCAAGATAGGGTCTCAAGAACTATTTGCTGGAGCTGGCTTTGAGCTGTGACCCTCCTGATTTCTACCTCCTGAGTAGCTGGGATTGCAGGCATGAGCCACCATGCCTGGCTATTCAAATATTTTTAATTTTAATTATTTTTTTTTTCTGGTACAAGGGATTGAACTTAGTGCCTCATGCTTGCTAGGCAGGTGCTCTACCACTTGAGCAACTCTGCCAGCCCTTTATTAATTTTGTGCATGAAACAAAGTGTTTATATTGAACTGTCAGAAAGCAAATGTCACTATCTGTCACCCATGTGGAAGGTCTGTGGTTGTTTGGTATTGCTATCATTCTTTTGTTTTTTTGGTGGGATTGGGGTTTAAACTCAGAGCTTCACACTTACAAAGCAGATGCTCTACCACTTGAGCCACACCTCTGGTCCATTTTGCTCTGGTTATTTTGGACATGGGGTCTTGAGAACTATTTGCCCCATTGAGCTGGAACCATGATCCTCTTGATCTCAGCCTCCCAAATAGCTAGGATTGTAGGCGTGAGCCACTGGTGCCTGCTTCACCATTCCTGACCCTGAGTTTATACACTACTGATAATCAATCATTTTCTTATACTTGTCCACATGTAAGTACCTAGCAGTAAAAATATGGCACACCGTCAACAGCGTGAACAAACAATGCTTTTAAGGTAAGTAAACAGCATAGTAGTGTCATCTGAAAAGCCTGTATTCTCTGCTAAACACCGGTGACAGCAAACAGGCCGCTGTCAGTCTCTACCTATTATGTTCGGTTTTGGCTTCTGTTTTTCTTTTAAGATACAATGAGGACTAGGTGCTGGTGGCTCACGCCTGTAATCCTAGCTACTCAGGAGGCAGAGATCAGGAGGACTGAGGTTTGAAGCCAGCCTGGGCAAATAGTTTGCGAGACCCTATGGGAAAAAACCGTTCAGAAAAATAGGGCTGGCTCATGGTGTAGGCCCTGACTACAAACCCCAGTACTGCCAAAAATAAAAAGATACAGTGATGGACTGTATCAGAAGTAGGTCCTCTAGGGATAAGGTGGCATTATGCTGGAGGGACTTTTTTTTTTTTTGTGGTACTGAGATTTGAACCTGGGGCCTACACCTTGAGCTACTCTGCTAGTCCTTTTTTTTTTTTTTTGTAAAGGGTTTTTCGAAATAGGATCTTGAGAATTATTTGCCCAGGCTGGCCTTGAACCATGATCCTCCTGATCTCTGCCTCTGGAATAGCTAGGATTACAGGTGTGAGCCACAAGCATTCTCTCTTATTTTATAAACTGACATGATTACTTGTTCTTTTATGACTGCTTGCTACTCTAGTCATTCAACAAACTGATCATACATTTTCACCATGTCATCTTCTAGCTACTTTTCATATAGTGTTAATGTCATCTTCATTGTCACTATTATCACAATCACCTTGATTCAGAACTATTTCATCTATTTCATCATTGGTCAAGGAATGAACAGTTGGAACCCCATAATTGTGTGTGTGTGTGGTGTGTGTGTGTGTGTGTGTGTGTGTGTGTGGTGCTGGGGATGGAATCCAGGGCCTTACACATGTGAGGTAAGTGCTCTACCACTGAGCTGCACTCCTAGCCCAGGAGCCTCATTACTGGTGACAAAAACTTTGATAACTACTTCTTCCAGCCTCCTGACAGACTCCGAAGGTATACTTTTTTCATATGTAAGGAGGACAGACATAATTTTCTTCCCACCTGACATACTAAATCTTTAAAATGAAAGACCTCTTTATTCATTAGCATCACTAAGCATAGACGAAGACCAGAGGTTGTCCAATCATTGGAAAGACAGCGTGTATGGCATCCTCTGTTCACTGTTGCTAGTGTGCTGCTCAAGACAGTGTTTGTATACTTACTCTCATTGAGTACGGATAGTCCAGTCACAGAGCTGGATTCATGAAGTCACATTTGGGAGAAAGTTCATGACATAAACATTAGTTATTTTTTATTTTTTTGGTGGTTCTGGAGTTTGAACTCAGGCTAGGCAGGTATACTGCTTGAACCACACCTCCAGTCCCATAAGCATTCTTTTTGATGAGAATTTCAGCTGGATGATGAGTGGAACAGTTACCAAACAGTAATGAAGTCTTGCAGTATTCTCTAGACCACCTTCCCTGCAGTGAGCACTAGTCAGTCAGAAAAGCTCTCTCTGGTGACCCACGTATTTTTGTTAGCATTAATGATAGATTGGGGCCTCGTGGAGCAACTCAGGTGGTAGAGCGCCTGCCTAGCAAGAGTGAGGACTTGAGTTCAAACTTCAGTATTGCAAAAATATATATAAAGAAATAAATTTTTAAAAAGATGGATTGGTAAGAATTCTTTCCCTTAAGACAGCAAGGACACAAGCTTTTGGGTGATAAAGGCTGTCACAGAAGTTTTCACTTATTAGTGAATCCCAACAGCCTTAATTCCTATGGGAATTAGCTGTAGTCAATGTCTTTCTGGAACAATAATGACAAACAGTGACATTTCATCATTTCATCAGTCATTATCCACTTGTCCTAGTACCAGATTTACTTTCTTTTTTATGTTTTCACTTGCACACCATGTTAATTGCAGCACTACTTACAATAGCCAAATCCTGGAATCAGCCTACTTGTCCTCTGCCCATCATCAGATGAATGTGTAAAGAGAATGACACACACATACACAATGATGCTTCCTTCAGTAATAAAGAACAAAACCCATCATCATGTTAAGTGAAATAAGCCAGACTCAAAAAAGACAAGCATCATCTATTTTTTCTCACGTGTAGAGCTGCAGGATAAATGATTCCTTCATGGGCTTTTCATAAGACATAGTGAAGTATAAATGTATAAAGAGAGAAAACCCCATCAACTCATTACATCTTCATTCTTGTACACACAGGTTTTTTATTCTTAGATGTCAGTCCACAGAAGCAAAGTGACACATAAAGAGAGGAAGGGTTTCAGAGTATAAGTCCATCATGCAGACAGGGCGTGGCAGAGCAGCCAGTTAATCATGATGGCCAGAACACAGAGGAATGGTGGTATCAGATTTTCATCAACAATGACTTTGGCAAACTTGTCAATGAATTTCTCTGATGCTTTATAATCAATAGAGTAGCTGTTGTACCAATACAAAATTGTACAAACTTGTCATCACAGATCTTTTAAAGTTTAATACTGCATGCCAGGTGTGGTAGTTTATGCCTGTAATCCTAGCTATTTGGGAGGTGAAGATTGAGAGGATTGCTGTTTGAGGACAGCCTGGGCAAAAAGTTCTTGAGACCCTATTTCAACCAATGGGCTGGGCATGGTGGCATATGCCTGCCATCCCCGCTACACTGGGAAGCACAAATAGGACTGTGGTCCAGGCCAGCCTGTCTCAAAATAACTACCACAAAAAAGGATGGTGGAGTGATTCAAGTGGTAGAACACCTGCCTCGTGAGAGGTCCTAAGTTCAAACCCCAGCACTGCAAAAAAAAAAAAGAAAAAAAAGAAAAGTTTAATGCTGTGTATTTCCTTAAATTTTTGCAACCAGTTTGTTGAGTAATCATAGTTTCCTTCAATTTTCAACTCACTGTGATAATATTTGTGATTAGCACACCAGTAAGGACTTGCAGTCACTATCATGCTGAGGAATCACCCTTTCAAATACACAATTGAAACCTTCAGTTTTAGCTTCATTTAGTGTTTTTCTATTTTTCATTAACTTCGGTTCATCACTTTAAGCATAGAGTTTCTAGTTTGTGTTTCTTCAGGCCATATCTGATGATTATTCTGGATTGGAGGTGTGGCTTAAGTAGTACAGTGCCTGATTTGCAAGTGCATAGCCCTGAATTCAAGTCCTAGTCCCACCAAAAAAGTCCCCCCAAACATTTAAAATATCTAAAAGGATCTGTTGATTATTCCCATACCATACTCTCCTGTGACATGTTTCACACTTACGTGGCTGTCCAGTTTCTTTAACAGCTTAACTTTCTATGCTCTAGATTAACACAAATACTTCTTTTCCTTTCACTGTTACCCACAGGGGTGCCTATCTGTAGGCATTTTTGACATTTTCAACAATGTCTTTATGGAAGAGAGATTAAGAAAAACACACCAGGAGTAATGCAGGTGGGTCTAGCTCCATGTGGGGCACCATGGGGTACCTGCTGTGGCTTGCATGGGGAAATGTGAGCATGTGTGGAAAAGCTCTATTGCAGCTGAAGGGGGCTGAGAGGGTCTTCATGCTGAGAATCTGTTGTGCCCTGTGTTCTGTCTGTGATCTTTCATAAGGTCAAGTGTAAAATCTTTTACTTTTGGCATCACATTGGCACTTAAAAAGTCTGGGATTTTGGAGCATTTCAGATTTCCAATTTTTTAAATTAAAGGTGCTCAACTTATAGTAGATGATTCATAGTTTACTTAATTTCCCATGCTGTGCCTGGGCTATATAGCCATACTATTTCATCTGGTTTGTTTCCATTTTTCCTCTTGTAAATATTGCATGGTTGTTGCATTAAGTTTGTTTTACATTTCTAATTATTTCTCTAGGCTGTATTTCTGAAAGCTAATAGTTAATTTAGTCAATGGAGTTACTTGGGCTCTTGATAAATATTACCAAATTCTTTCCCATAAGCTGTTATGATGATTTGCACTCCCACTGGCATAGGAGATGGTTAAAGGGTTTTGACACCAGAAATGAAACTGTTTTCTATTCCAGCAAGAGTGGATGGGAGGAACACCTTGGGAAGATGGAACTTGCTGTTGGAGCCCAATTCAGATGTTGCCTTTTGTGACAACCATTAAGAAACCCTAAAGACTGAGGTGTATATTAAAAACAAAGAATTTTTTTTTTTAAGACGCACTGGGTCTTGGGGTCTAGTGGTAAATGCTTACTTAGCATGCAAGAGGCCCTAGGTTTGATCCCCAGCATCACAAAACAAACAAACAAAAACAGAAAGAAAACGTGAGTTTTGGGCAGCAGAAGAAATTCCAAGGCCTTAAAATATGAGTAGTTTGTAGGTGGGGTTGCTACAGAGTATGCTTAGGTCAGGCTGAAGTTCTGGAGCCAATATAGAAGTCAGAAAGGGGAAGGTTCTCTTCTGCCAGAGGTCAGGACCTGCTGAGTTAAGCCAGGGGTTTGTGCAAACATGCTGAGTTTACAAACATTTACTGAGGTCTAGAAACCTGGAGTGAGAAGTCTATAGGCCTGGCCTGTTGGGAGCAGATTAGGGGCCTGAGGGGCTGAATCTAAAGTCTGAGGAAGTCAGCCCTAGGCCGGTAGTCTCCACACTGAGGATCACTGCAGTTAGGCTTCAGTTATTCGAGGTGGAAAATGTCTGCCTTTGTGAAAGATTCTTTTGTTTCTCTTTTTTACTTATGCTTGTTACTAGTTCCCACTTAAAAATTACAGTCATCTTGGCTGAAGTAAGTAGAGAGGATTCATTCTTATCTAAGCCAACCTAACTACTGCAGTAGGAGAGCAATGCTAGACACCAGGTGATGGATGAAGCCTGGCCATCCTGGGCCCTTTTATGACTTACCTGCACCTATTGCAGTGTTGTCACACCTTATTATTTATCTGAATTCATATCTAATTTTGCACACTCCTCTGGAAACAACATAAAAGTGGTTTTTGTTAGTGTCTTGTGAGATGCTATTTACATTATAGGAGTGTAATAAATATTGACTTTTTTTCCTTTTCTGAGACAGTCTCACTCTGAACCCAGGACCAGACTTAAATTTGCATCCTCCCACATCAGCCTCCCAGGTGCTGGGATTATAGACTTGAAGCTCTGTACCCACCTTTTTTTTTTCAGAATTGGGGTTTGAACTCAGGTCCTTGTGCTTGCTTGGCAGGCACTCTACCCAAACCCATGCCCCCAGATATATTCCCGGCTTTTATGTAGCTCAGAAAAGCTTCAAACACATCTGGTTTTAATTTATTCACTTATTTGCTGTACTGGGAACTCCACCAGTCCTTTTTTTGTGATGGGTTTTTTTGAGATAGCTTCTCCCAAACTATTTGCTCAGGCTGTCTTTGAACCATGATCCACCTGATCGCTGCCTCCTGAGTAGCTAGGATGACAAGCATGAGCCACTGGTGCCTGGTCACATCTGTTTTTTAAATATTGATTTAATTAACTTTTCCGCGTGTCTCATGGATTGATTCCAGTAAATGTTTGATACCACTCATTCATTCATTAGTTCAAACATGCATTTGTTCATTTTCTTTTTTTTTGAGGCACTGGGGTTCATTTTCTTAATAAGCATTTAGTGGGATGGAGGTGTAGCTCAAGTGTTAGAGCACCTGCCTAGCAAGCACAAAGCCCTGAGTTCAAACCCCAGCACCACCAAAAAAAAAAGAAAAAAGCCTTTAGCTCTTTCATATGTGTCTCCTCTAGAAATTCTTTATAGCTGGGTGCTGATGGGAATGTAAATTAATCTAGTGACTATGGAAATCAGTATAAAGTTTTCTCAAAAAATTCAAAATAGAATTCCCATGTGATCCAGCCATACCATACCTGGATATACACCCAAAAGAACTAGTCAGCTTACTATAGAATACATGTGTACACATTTATCACAGCACTATTCACGGCAGCCAAATTACGGAATTAGCCTAGGTGCCAGTAATGGACGAATGGATAAAGAAAATGTGGCTTACATACACAATGGAGTTTTACTCAGCCAGTAAGAATGAAATTATGTAATTTCCTAGAAAATGTATGGAACTGGTGGTTCTTGTGTTAAGTGAGATAAGCCAGCTCCACAAAGACAAGTTTATTTTCTCTCATTTGTGGAAGTTTAGAGGGAAGAAAAGCAAAAATGAGGACATGAACTAGAGGGAGGATACTAGACAGGTTTAAGGGAGAGGGAAAAGGGGAGGAGAGAGGGGGATGAGAGAGCAAGGGAGGACTGAACATGATCAAAGCCAATTGTGTGCATGTATGTGAATGTGATAATGAACAATTAATATGCACTGATTAATATACAGCAATTAAAAAGCAAGTTTGGATTTTATCTTCAAGGTCATAGAGAACCACATGTAGATTTTAATTTAGGACATTGGCATAATCAAATTTGCTTTAGGGGACATTTTCATTGTGACAGTGCAGGACAGATTGAATCTCTATGAATTGGGGGAAATAAACTGACACTAGGGCTAAATTGCCTACAGGTGCAGTGGGTTGAGTCAGCCGTGACAGGAGCTTCCTTCTCTGGGATTTCTGTTCCATCTCCCAAAACTACGTGCAGCCTAGCTGTCATGCTGTGACTGGTGCTAGCTGTGGCTGGGTGCTGTTTGAAGCTAAGGTGGGTATCCTTTTTCCTTTGCTCACAAATCAAGTAAAAATGCCTCACAGAATGGAACTGATGGAAGATATATTTATATAGCCATTCTCAAGATACCCCAGACGCTTTCCATCTTTTTTTGTGTGTGTGAGGGAGACAGTACTGAGGTTTGGAATCAGGGCCACCAGCTTGCTAAGCAGGCACTCTGCCATCTGAACCAGGCCACTAGCCCTTTTTGGTTTAGTTATTTTTCAGATGGGGTCTCATGCCTTTTGCCCAGATTTGGGATGTGTGGCCCATTATGCCAAGCTTGCTTGTGAGATGGAGGCCTCAATAACTTTTTGTCTGAACTGGCCTTCAACTGCCATTCTCCCATTCTGTGCCTCCTGAGTAGGTGGGATTATAGATGTGAGCCACCCTGTCCAGCAACCCTCTCCATCTTATGAGGAGGGTTGGCAGAGGGTTCCTTCAGGGCAGAAAATGTACTTTGATTTATTTTTGTATTCCTTGCACTTACTGGAGTGGATTACTCACAGAAGAGAATGATAGATATTTGTTTCATGAATTTGAAATTTAATGTTGTACTGGAAATGTGTTTCATGAAATACGTTGTGTTGATTAGGTACTTGGATCATCCCCCAGACACCTTTTATTTTATTTTATTTTTTTGTGGTATTGGGGTTTGAACTCAGGGCCAACACTTTGAGCCACTCCACCAGCCCTTTTTTGTGATGGGTTTTTTTGAAATAGGGTTTCATGAACTGTTTGCCTGGGCTGGCTTCAAACAGCAATCCTCCTGATCTCTGCCTCCTGAGTAGCTATGCGTACTGGCGTGAACCACCAGTGCCTCTCAATGCCTTTTAAATCAACAGCCTCACAGGGGTGCGGGGCACATCTAAGGCCTAAGAAGATGGGAGAAGTTAGTGGAATGGGAAGTAGGTTACTTCTCAGAAATTCAAGAAGTTGAACTGAAACAGTTTCAGAGAGGTTCTGCCCACAATTTGTAGGTTCTTAGAAAGATGTGTCGGGGGATTGGAAAGTTCTGGATTCCTTTTGACACCCACCATTGTACGAACAGCCTTCATTCCTTCTCACACACTTTAAACTATACTCAAAGTACATGTGTGCCGTGTAGTTTGTTTAATTTCTTCATTAGGAATACCATCCTGTACTATGCTGTTACCATCACCCTTCCATTCCCTGCTGGAATACTCTTTTCCTGAAACCCTGTGAAGAAATCGTCTCCCCTCTAAACAGTCTTTAAACCCTCATAGTACTTCCTGCTGCCTTCTTAGTATTGGATGTGAGCTATTGTTCTTACTCCCACTAGAAGTAAGGAAGTAATCACACATAATTTAACTGTGGGTATTTTATAGTATACAAATACCCATGAAATACACCATGTCAAATGCTCAGGGCTTTGTAAATCTTGAATGAATGAGCTGGCTGAACTGTACTTATGTGTAAATGTGACCAGGACATGAAGTGCCCAAATTTTGGTCAAACGTTATTGTGGGTATTTCTTCAGGGTTTTTTTGTTTGTTTGTTTTTGGTGGTGCTGGGGTTTGAACTCAGGACTTCATGCTTGTTAGGCAGGCACTCTACCTCTTGAGCCACTGTACCACGGTGTTGGGTATTTTCAAGACAGGATCTTTCAAACCATCTGCCTGGCCAGCTTTGAGCTTCCTGATATCTGCCTCCTGAGTAGCTACTTTTGAGTGAGATTAAGATTTAAATGGGAGCCAGGTGCAGTGGCTCATGCCTGTAATCCTAGCTACTCAGGAGGCAGGACCAGGAGGATTAGGGCTTGAAGCCAGCCCGGGCAAATAGTTCATGAGACCATATCTTGAAAAAACTTCACAAAAAAAGGTCTGATGGAGTGGCTCAAGGTGTAGGCCCTGAGTTCAAACCCCAGCACCGCAAAAAAAAAAAAGGTTTAAATGGTTACACTGAGCAAAATAGATTGATATCCCTCATGTGGGCAGGGCTCATCCAATCAGTGGAAGGCTTAGGGCGACTCTCCCCTGAGTAAGAGTTTCTCCTGTCTGAAGGCCTGCATATGTATTGATTTTTTGCCTGACTTCAGACTCAAGCTGAAACATCAGGTCTTGCTGGGTTTTGAGCCTGCAGCCTTCAGACTGGAACTCTACTTCCAGCTCTTCATGATGCAGGTGAGCTGACTCACTTTGAAGATCTTGAGACTCATTAGCCCCCTGACCATGTGAGACCATTCCTTATAACGAATCTGTTTGTATAAACACACACACACACACACACACACACAGAGTCCTGATTAACACTGAGGTTCTGAATTTTAGAAATACACCTGGCCTACATGAACATGAGGCACACTCTAAAAACGATTCTTATAGCTGGGCACCTGTGACTCACACCTGTAATCCTAGCTACTCATAAGGCAGAGATCAGAAGGATTTCAGTTCAAAGCCAGCGCCGGCAAATAGTTCATGAGACCCTAATGAAAATACCCAGCACAAGATAGGGCTGGTGGAGTGGCTCAAATGGTAGAGCACTGCCTAGCATGAAGCCTTGACTTCAAACCCCACTGCTGCCAAAACAAAACAAAACAAAACCCAAAAATGATGCTTAATCTTCCAAGCCCCCATCTCTCCCCCCCAACTCCCTCATTTTAAATCTTCTGAACTCCTTTTATCTGATCTCTTCTTTTTTTGCAAGATTTCAGGCACATAGGAATTTGATGTTACCCTTAGCCTTCTACCCTAATACTGTACTCAGGCCCACCTTGTTCCTCACTAAGGTCCCCAATTTTCCTTGTTTTTCTCAGTTCTACTTCTTCAGAGCTCCTGATTTAGGGAAGGAGGGTGCAGCTCAGTAGCTGTGGGAAAGCAATCTGCTGAAAGCTCTTTAACCTCAGAATCATTTGCTGAGTGAATTGGATGAAATATCAAGCAGCTTAACAAAGTGGGATAGCCAGGTGCCAGTGGCTCATGCCTGTAATCCTAGCTACTTAGGTGGCAGAGATCAGGAGGATTGAGGTTCGAAGCCAGCCCCAGCAAACAGTTTGCAAGACCCTATCTGGAAAAAATGCATCAAAAAATAGGGCTGGTGGAGTGGCTCAAGGTGAAGGCCCTGAGTTCAAACCTCAGTACTTGCTGCTGGACCAATTCTTGAAAGCCTCTCCCATCTCTGAAACTCCAGCTTCCCTGAACCAATAAGGAAAAGGCACTGCCACAGAAGTAGCTCTGGAGGTTGCAGTGCTGCTAAAGGAAGAAGCAGCACACCTGTAATGCCAGCACTAAGGAGAGAGGTGGAGGCAGGAGGCTGCCTAGTTCCTGGCCAGCCTGGGCTACATAGACCCGTTTCAAAAAACAAAACAAAACATAACAAAAAGAAGAAGGAGAAGAAGAAGAAAAGAAGAAGGAGGAGGAGAGGATAGAGGAAAACCCATTTGCTTATCCATTTGTTTTTTTCTTTTTTCTTTTTTTTTTTTTTTTGCAGTACTGGGGCTTGAACTCAGGGCCTTTACCTTGAGCCACTACACCAGCCCTATTTTTGTGAAGAGTTTTTCGGGATAGGGTCTCTTAGAACTATTTGCCCAGCCTGGCTTTGAACTACGAGCCCCAAGATCTCTGCCTCTTGAGTAGCTAGGATTACAGGCGTGAGCCATTGGTGCCCAGCAGAAAGGTCCATTTTAGAAGAATGTAATCTGTTCAAAAAATGACAAGAAATCAATAGTTTTAAGCCAGGTGTGACAGCACATGCCTATAATCCCATCTACTGAAGAGACAGAGGCAGGCAGGAGGATTGAAAGTTTGAGGTTGGCTGGGCAAAGTTAGGGAGACCTACCTCAAAGACAACAAACAAAACAAACAAAAGGGTTTGGGGGCATGGCTCAAGTGGTAGAGTGCTTTCCTGGCATGCTGAGTCTTGGTTCAACCCCTAGTTAAAAATAAAACAAATAAAATGTAGATAAACAAAATCAGGAGACTTTTTGTTTGTCTGCTTGATACTGGGTTTTGAACTCAGGGACTTGTGCTTGCTAGGCAGGTACTATACTCCTTGAGCCACACCCTAGCCCATGAATCTTGTTTTAATCCTATGTGTGCCATTTAGTAGAGAACAGAGCTGCTGGTGAGCAGAGTTTAGTGGAGGTGTTAGAGGCACCGTCTTGGAGATGTTAGTAAATTGAGGCTGTATGAAGCTGCTCCTCTGGCTGAAATCCCGTGTACTAGCATGTCTTCCTATAGAACTTTCCTTTCTGATTTCTTACAAAAAAAGGAGGGGAAGTATTTAAGAAAGATCACAATTATAATAGAAACTACAAACCCCTGCATCTATTTCAAACTTTAATATTGAAATATACTTAAATCTTTCTCACGGGGCACTAGGGTTTGAGCCCAAGGTCTCACACTTGCTAGGCAGGCAGTTTACCACTTGAGCCACTCCATCAGCCCTTTTTTGTGTGGGGTATTTTTGAGATAAGTTCGAGAAAACTGTTTGCCTGGGGCTGGCTTCAAACAGCGATCCTCTTGATCTCTGCCTCCTGAGCAGCTAGGATTAAAGGTGTAAGCCACTGGTGCCTGCTAGAAATACCCCTTTTTTTGAACTCTATTTATCGTACTGGCTTGCCCCCATCACTCTTTTCCCTTTTATAGACAAACTTCTTCAAAGGATTTGTAGTCACCATCTCCACTTCCTTATCGCCATCGACTCCTCAGCCTTCTAGAGTAGATTTTTTTCCCCTGTTGTGCATCAGAAACTGTTCTTACCAAGATCCCCAATGGTGAGCTGCCTCAAAATACAGTAAAGCTTCTCACTTTCATTTCACCTGATGTCACAGAGCACTTGACCCTGTGCCATTGCTCCCTCTGGAGTTGCTGCTCTGACCCCCACTGTGTGGGCTCCTCTTGCATCTCTCAGTTCTGGTTGCCACCTTTCCTTATGTTCCCATCCCTTAAATGTCAGTGGTCTTTGAGATTCTGTCCTCTGTCATCTTTCTACTTTGTATGCTCACTGAGCCCTCTGTGATCTCAGCTTAAATC